TCCATCCATCCATCCATCCATCCACCCATCCATTCCTTCATTCCTTCATCCATCCAACCATCCATCATCTATCCCTCCACCCACCTGTGTATCCATCCATTGTTCACCCAGCTGTCTGTCTGTCCATACATCCATCCGTCTGTCCATCCATCCAACCATCCATCCCTCCCTCCCTCCCTCCATCCATCCATCCATCCATCATCTATCCTTCCACCCACCCATGCATCTATCATTCATCCACCCAGCTGTTCAGCCATCCATTCTTCTGTCTGTCCGACCATCCATTTGGGTTGGGCCTGTTTGGGGTCATAGCAGGATCCCCCTTGTGCTTCCTCCCTCCCCACCCAGGTTCCTGTGGAGGAAGTGGAAGGACCTTTGTGTGGGAGACGTGGTGTGTCTGCACAAGGACAGCATCGTCCCGGTGAGCAGGGCGGCCCCGGGGAGGACACTCGCATCCAGTGCGCCCGGCCTGCTGTGACAGGGGTGTTGTTTCTCTCACCTCCCTGTCCCCTCACCCCAGGCCGACATGCTCCTCTTGGCCAGCACTGAGCCCAGTAGCCTGTGCTACGTGGAGACAGCGGACATCGACGGGTAAGAGCTGGGAGCTGGGGGGCCCAGGGGTGTGGGCAGAAGCCCTCTTTCTTGGGCCAAGGAGGTAACTGGCCAAAGTGACTGAGATGTTTGGTCACTCCCTTGAGAGCGATTCTGGGGCCTGCAAGGCGCAGCAGTCTCAGGTGGAGGACATCGTTAGTACTGCAGACTGAAAGGTTGGAAGTTTGAATCCACCTAGAGGCATCTTGAAAGAAAGTCTCAGGCACTCCCTCCTGAAAAGCCAGCCGCTGAAAGCCTGCTAACTGGCACAGGGCAGCTCTGGCGTGCCCCGGGCTGGACGGGACTGGGATTGAGGCTCAACTCTGTGCAAACTTGGTGTATTTGGTATTTATTTGCTTTTTATGGGTTTTGTTTTACTGGTTGCCTTTCCAGACAGCAGCAGCAGAGGGGTGGGAGACGGCCCAAGTGACCAAGAATGATAGAGACACACAGCGTGGCCTGTCCATGGTGCCATGTCACTCAGCCACACAGCAGCTGTGGCTCAGCGAGTGTGTCAGTGGGAGAAGCCGGGCCCGCGGGCCCGGTGTGGGGAGAGCAGGCCAGGCAAAGCCGCAGAGGCCGGCAGTGGACAGAGGGCCGGGACCGCGGCTCCCCAGGAAGATGGGAGGATTTGGGACTAGGTGTTGGTGGTGAAGGCCCAGCGTAGTGATGTATCGTTAATTAGGCACCGAGGCAGGGCTGCCAGGCAGTGTCTTTGTTCTGCTTTGTGTCTTTACGACTCGGGTGCCTGCAGCTGTAGGCATGGGTGTGTCGGAGATGGTGAGTGTGGCACAGGCTCCGGCCTGTTGTCTCAAGGGTCACTAGGCGTGTGTCGGAGACGGTGAGTGTAGGACAGTTGTCCTGAGGGTCACTACGAGCTGTCCTCAACTTGATGGCACCTGATGACGATAACCCCACCCCTAAAGACCCAGGCGTTTAGACAGGTGATGCTGACAGGTGAAGCAGAGGAGTGGCCTGCCTGCAGGTTGCCTCAGGACCGCAGGTCTGGTCCCCGCACACTCCCAAAGCCAAGACGGCACTGGAGCCAGCCGGCCGGTGTTTCGGTT